CATGCATGCACATAAAGACACGCCTTCATCCTCACAGGCATACATATGTACATGAACTGGGGTGTGGGGTTTCATTTGCTGGACGGAGACTTCTGGGCTTAGGTTTCTCACGACCTATAAGCCCTAATCCCGAAACCCAAACCGTAAGAGATTGGAATGACGCTTTTGGGTTCAGGGGTGAAGTTTCAGGGTCCAGGGTTTACGGGGTCGAAGTGTAGGGTTTAGGGTTTTGCTGTCAGGGTTCAGGGTTGCAGGTCAGGAGATAGGGGTGTAGGATTTGAGGGGGCAAGCTCTGAGTCTTGATTTAAAGGTTAGGTGGATGAAGGGGAGTGGGGGAGTGAATTCCTAGTAAGGAGAAACAAACGGACAGAAAATTCAACATGAAATCGAGACTGTGAAAGTATCTTGTACTGTATTACATATACATATCGGGCATAGCATGCTCAAGGAGTAGACGGGAGTGGCTCCCAGCAATGAATAACTCCCAGGTAATCCCCTACAACAGTGCTTCCTCCTTGAGCACCCGTGCGTGAATGCTGAAGGATGATGTGGTTAAACAATCCACTCCAAGCAGCATTTGTTTTTGGCTGAGTTTTCCTTTGCCGTGTGCCCTTCATCACAAGACGACAACTTTGACAATGCAAAACTTCAGACAGAACCAGAAGCCCGCGAGTAGATGCAAACAGGACACTGCGAACCTTAAGCCTGTTGAGGTGCTCACTTACGGGTTCAGTTCAGTCGACAAACTTTTAATATCTGCATCTTCAACATGGGTGGACCCTAAGGATAAAGGGCTTCTGGGGTCGCTAGTGAGAGTTCTAGATAGCAGGGATAATCCTGGGAAACTCCCACATGCAGGTTTCGCTGGGTGTGCGGGTTTTGGGATCCCTGGTTAGGGGTGACCGCAAGAAGCATCCTTGCGTAGAGATGTAGAGGAGATGTTTTCGTATCACGGCCAACAACACCCACATGAGCCAGAAGGTCAGCAAGCTGATGCCCAATGTCGTGCATCAACATAGCTACTCTCTCCCCACCTAAAGCCAGCGCTGCCGATCGACAGCCAGGTTTTTCAATCAACTGCCTTACTGGTACTCGTAGGGGTAGTTTGGGCAGTATCTGCGTCTTGAATTCAGTGCAAGGGTCTATCTATCGAGGGTCCCTCTCATGCTTCGCGACAGCAAACCAAGAAGACCTTAGCAAATTCAGTAATGTGAATGCAGAACGTGCTGCACATACTGCCGCCCAAGCGGACAGTTGTTTGGCAGGAGGATTGCTGGGTCGTCCTCTATGGCAAGGCCGGATGCTTTGCTCAGTAGCCTTTGTATATGGGTAATTCTCAAAATTATGGGCCCCTTTGGTTATAGATTTTATGGCACTTAATATTTAGGGGCACCACAATGGGACCTTAATTTTGGGAACTACTCATATACTGGCAGGTTACCCTAGACGTTCCCTGAACCCATGCTTACGTTCTGTTTGTTCTAGACCTAACAACCAGTTGAAACTACACTCTTGGCCAGGTTCCCATGGAAGATAAGATAAAGCAGGTTCTTGCTTAGGCCTTTGCGGCGCAGACTTTTGTAAGCCTTTACTCTAAGCGCAGTGGTCCGCATGGCAGGTTTGACCACCTTCATATCAACCTCTCCCTATGGAATTACCCAAGCCCGTAGTAACAAATTATCCTACCAATATGTAACCAGAAAGGATCATGCTGTTGGCGGTGTTGTTGTTTAGCTTCGCGTTTAGGACTCGGTCATCTAAGAAAGTGCCAAGAACTGGGAGTTTCCCTAGACGATCCCTCGCAGTCCTGTTGAGAAGCAACGTGAATGCCCTCATGATGCACACATATATATATATGTATATACGGATACACCTATCCATACAGTTCATCAGTCGGGTAGCTGAGGGTGAAAGACTTGCAAGTGAGCACACGGGAGTTCTTAAGACAATCCCTGTATTAATCTCCTATAAGGACCCACATAATCCCCCTGTAACCCCTATATATCCCTAGATTCCCTTCGGGTCCCTCATGTTCAAAAGCTGTCAACCCAGAATCCTAACTCTTCTGTTCTATCGCTTCGGGTCCCTACGGGCCCCTCATTTCGAGAAACCCTAGACCCTAAACCGCAAATGCAACTATTCTGAGAAACCTCATGTGTTCTGCATACCGTAATTAAGAGTCCGAGGACTCAAGCACTATATAGGGCTGTAGGTCCCAAAGACAAGTGAGATTGTGGCATTGGGGATCTAAAGCCCCATTTTTTGCGTCCTTGGATCCGCGGCGATACGAACCTAAACCCTAATCACTAAACCCTACACCCTCAAACCTACTGGACGGTCAGGCGTACGATCTCACCAAGTTTGCCAAGGCCAGACTCGGCTTCGGGGGGGATTAGTCAGCTAAGCCGTGGCCTATACATATCAGAAGTTCCCCGTATTGTTGCAGATCAAGTTCGTTGACAAAGCATGCAAAATGGGATTAGCTTCAGGAGGCTGTGTTGGGCCACGAGGTGTTGTTTGAGGTTCTTGGTTTGAGGCTTGAGGGCCTTGAAGCCTTAAACCACAAGTCATGACGAGGCTCCAATGGTTCTTTGTTGAGACTTTGAACCCTAACGTACTGGGACCATCGCAAGAAGGTTTCAGGGTTTGGCAGTAGTAGCAGCTCGTTGCGTGAAACATAGCTAGAGCCTGTGATTAGCCATGTTGGTGGGCTCATTGGCATCTTAACTTGAGAAGATATATTGAATACATATACCTTTGTGTATGGTACGTGTATGTGTATATATATATATATGTATACATGTATACATATATATACATATATATATATAACATATATATACATACATACATACATACATACATACATACATACATATACATATGCATGTATGTATGTATGTATGTATGTATGCATGTACATAGTATGTACAGATACAAGTATACATTCATTCTATGCGGTCATTTCTTCAGAGTCACATGGCAAAAATCCGCAACACCAAGCTTACCACACATAGCTTGCACAAGTATCTACTAGGTGAAGCCCAAGGGTGCAAGTAATCGATAACCATATATGTATATATATTATTTGCCCAAAATCTGTGCTGGAATTGCTATTACCAAATCCCTGTGTACCCAAATGTTGGGTACATGGACCCTGAGGGGAATATTGCCGAGATAACAAGCTCGGTATGCATTGGAGGCTCCAAAGGCTGCCAAGTGACCCTGGACCCTAAACCTTCCCTAAGGGTCCATGTACCCAATATTTGGGCACTTAGGCTTGTGGTAATAGTAATTACAGTACAGGTTTTGGGTAAGTATATGAATATTAGGTACTTGGACCCTTAGGGCTTACACTCATGGCACAATTTCTTTAGAGGCTGATAAAGTATGCATGCTGCAAGCCCTCTACCCTCCCAGGTCTGCGTTCAAATTAAGTTGGCCGTGAACTGCAAAATCCTAAACGCGGAAGGCCACACGCGGAGCCCTCCCTGGACCTCCAAATACCCAGACTTATAGCCTTCATACCCGTTATTTTGGGGTTGAGGGGTTATTTGCGGTTAAAGGTTACTTTCATGGATATTTGTTGGGTACTGCCCCCCCACCCAGAAACAGTTGGATAGTTATTGTAATGTCAGTAGATGAAGCCCTTAGTATGAGCCCCCTTATAGACTGTTATTGGGTGGGGCACTACCCAACCTAAACCCCAAACCCAAGACCCTAGGCGCTAAACCCCAAACCTTGAACCCCAAATCCTAAAGCGTAAGCACTAAGCCCCTAAACCCTTAACCCCAAACCTTAAACCCTTGGGAGGTCCGGGTACATCTGAGCTACCCAGAACCCAAAAAACCCTAGAACCCTAAACCCTAGATCCTATAACCCTAAGATCCCTAGAACCCTAGAACCCTATAACTCTATAACCATAGAACCCCCAAACCTTAGAAACCCTATAAATCCTATATACGCTATAAACCCAAAACCCTAAACCCAAAACCCAAAACCCTAAACACTTTAAAGGGACCTACATCTCAGCACGCGCTGCGGCAGGTCCATCCTGGCGGAGCTAAGCTCATCACGGACGCTGCTGGCATGGTCATTCTTCTGCTATAAGGTTTATTGGGTTTAGGATTTAGGGTTTAGGGTTTAGAGTTTAGGATATAGGGTTTAGGATATAGGGCTTAGGATTCAGGGTTT